AGGCCATGCAGCCTCAGTCCCCTGAGCCTGCCAGGAGCCGCCTTCCAAGGAGGAACCAGGGGGGCAGCAGTTGCCACACCATCCTCACCACTGCAGGTGGCCTCACTGAGCTCCCCACCCCGTGCCCCATCTCCTGCACCCCTACCCCCTGTGCTGAGCTCTCCCACACCTCCCAGACCCCTGCCCTAATCCGCTCACCCACTGCCCTGAGTCCTGCACCCCTACCTCATGTCCTGAGCTCCCCACACGTCCCAACTCCCTGCCCTGACTCCCGCACCCTCCCCAGTACCTGCCCTGAGCACCCCAATCCTTGCCCTGACTCCTGAACCCACCAATCCCACCGGCAGCCCCCTGCCCTGAAGGACCCAAGCAATGCCAGGTAAATCTTCCAGTATGTGTATGGGACTGCTGGATGATACAGTCTTTAATACGATCTCATACTTTGGTATCAGGTGTGTATCACTGACATTGACGTATATTTTTTAAGAAGTCTTACAATAATGTGGAACCATCAAATTGTGAACTAGCTACCACTAAGCTACAGAACTAGAAGACATCAGTACTGTTAGTTTCAGCCTCCATCTACTCATTACTCATTCATTTGCTGTGTCTTGTCTTAAATTACATGGCACGTTCTTCAGAGCAGACATCATCTGCCTGTGTATTTGTACATCATCTTGCACAATAGGGCCCTGATCCTGGCTGGAGTGTAGAGATGTTACCATAACAACCTCCTCTACCTGAAAGGATCTTTCGAAAATCCAGACAGTTGGCCATGGAGACATCTTAGAAGTGGTTTAATTTTCCACTGATTGTGTAACTTTCAAGTTCCCCTGTGCATATCCAGTATCTTAGGTGGAAGACAGCTTTCTTCTCAATTCCCTGGCTGCCCCAAGGTGATTGCATGCTCCATAAGTAGCTATATTAGCTGCCCAGAGAAATAACTTTCATCCACGGGGTGGTCAAATCAACTAGATAAAGAAAAAACAACTAGTGCGGGTAAGTTCACCCATCTCCCCCACACAGAGGCTCTGACAGGGTCCTCTTCCCAGACAGATCTCCTCCTATCTGAAGGAGGGAAATTAACCCTCTGTGATACAACTCCCCCTCAAACTCTGCAAAAGGGCTCTGAATCCTGGGGTGAGGGCCAGAGTGACTCTTTACAGCACTGTCTCTTGAAAACCTACTGGCTATGTCTACACTGGCAGCTTCTTGCGCAAGAACAACTGTTCTTGCGCAAAAACTTGCCGGGTGTTACACTGCACGCGCGTTCTTGCGCAAGTAAATTTACAGTACAGCTGCGAAAAACAGGGCTTCTTCCAGAAGCGTTATTCCTCTCTCCACAAGGAATAAGCCCTCTTGCACAAGAGCTCTTGCGCAAGAGGGCAATGTAGACAGGCAACATGAATTTCTTGCGCAAGAAACCGCTATGGCAAAATGGCTATCAGAGCTTTCTTGCACAAGAGAGTGTCCACACTGCCAGACGCTCTTGCACAAAAACTCATATCTTGCGCAAAAGCACATGCCAGTGTAGACGTGCTCTTGTGGAAGACTTTTTGCGCAAGAACTCTTCTGCAAAACAGTTCTTGCGCAAGAAGCTGCCAGTGTAGACGTAGCCACTGGGTTTCTGCATGGAAATCTGGCAGGGAAGAAGCTGATATAGCTTGGGGCTGCATTTTATCTGCTTCTAGGCCACCTTCACAGCTGCCTTTGAGTGATCACATGGTACCCAAGCAGCAGAAAAGAGCACAGGGACCAGTGGTGCCTAAGTACAGTTCTGCCTGGTGAGCCCTATTGAGCCACAGGTTTGGGACACCCCAATCTTCCTTTTTTGAGATGGCAAATAGGAAACTAAGACACCACTGTGGAGTCTCCCTGCCTCTCTAGCCCATCCTCCATGCTCACCAAGAGGAGGGTGAAATCCAGTCCCATGGAAACAATTCTCCTTTGAATCATAGAACACTAGAACTGGAAGGGACCTCGAGAGGTCATCAAGTCCAGTCCCCCGCCCTTACTGCAGGGTCAAGCACCATCTAGATCATCCCTGATAGATGTTTATCTAACATGCTCTTAAATATCTCCGATGATGGAGATTCCACAACCTCCCTAGGCAACTTATTCCAGTGCTTAACCCTCCTAACAGTTAGGAAGCTTTTTCCTAATGTCTAACCTAAACCTCCCTTGCTGCAATTTAAGCCCATTGCTTCCTCTCCAATCATCAGGGGTCAAGGAGAATAATTTTTCTCCCTCCTCCCTGTAATACTCTGTTAAGTACATTAAAACCTCTATCATGTCCCCTCTCAGTCTACTCTTTTCCAAACTAAACAAACTCACTTCTTTTAGTCTTCCCTCACAGGTCATGTTCTATAGACCTTTAATCATTTGTTGTTCTTCTCTAGGCCCTCTCCAGTCTCTCCACCTTTTGGTCTACCTAAAATCTAGCATTGGAAATATCTAGCAAATACTTCCTTCACAGCCAGTTCCCACTTACCGTTTCTCTATGAGCTGGCTAGTGATGGACCACACGCATGACCCTGGCAGGACATCCCGATCAAACACACACAGCTTCAGCTTGAACTCCGTTTGCTCCAGCTCTCGGATCATCTCTTGGACAAATTGGATGTCTTTTTGACAGTAACAGATGAAGGCATCAAACAGCTCTGGCGTGTTCCCTGGAACCATTCACAATTGTACACAGGCAATAATAAGTGAATATAAATTCAACCACTGCTCACTCTTCAGGTGCTGGAGTCTTTGATTCATAATGTCACATAACCCACATGAACACGCTGAGACTCTCTTCTCCCTATACTGGCTAGTCCTCCTACAGAGACTGAGGAGTTGGCTATAGCTTTTGAGAGAATGTCTCTCCGTTAGTTCAGGTACTAGAGTCTCATGCTTCTAAATCCAGAGCTCTAAGTCCCTGCAGACATTTCACCTAGGAGCATCACTACACGCACTATCATACAATCGTATCAGGCAAGCCCTCGGCTTTGGAAAATATAGACATGCCACAAAGAGAGTTATATGAGAAACAAGTCTAATGGGTAGAAGACAGCTCAATATTTTCAAACTTGGGTATCAGAAGTTAGACACCTGAATAAGTGGCCTACCTGAGTTACCCACCCGCAGCACTCATTAAGGCCTTTATTTATTTATTTGGTGCCCAACCAGATTCAGGTGCCTTATTTTAAGGCTCGCATTTTTCACAATTGGGTGCCCAACCTCTATTGACTCAATTTGTTGCTATGTAACTCCAGTTCTACAGCAGCACAACAACACTGATTTCAGTGGAGTTGTGCCAGCATAAAACCGCAACAGCGTAGTGAAGGATCAGGCTCTACAAGCAGGGTAAGGAAAGTATGAGCATTTTCTGTCCAGATACAGGCAGTCCCCGGGTTACGTACAAGATAGGGACTGTATGTTTGTTCTTAAGTTGAATCTGTATGTAAGTCGGAATTGGCGTCCAGATTCAGACGCTGCTGAAACTGATCAGTTTCAACAGCGGCTGAATCTGGATGCCAGTTCTGACATACAGATTCAACTTAAGAACCCCAGGCGTCCCCAAGTCAGCTGCTGCTGAAACTGATCAGCGGCTGATTCCAG